CATCTATGAAGAGAACATAACCCTGACACCAAACCAGGCAAAGATCCCCCAAGAGACAAAAACTAGAGACGAATATCCCTCATGAGCATAGATGCAAAAATTCTCAACAAAATTCTGGTCAATAAAATCCAGCAATGTGTCAAAAAAATAACTCACCATAACCAATTGGTATTCATAACAGGGTTGCAAGAATGGTTTAACATTAGAAAAACAATTAATGCAATCTAATACATAAACTGGAAAAAGACTAAGAAACACATGATCAATAGATGCAGAAAAGGCATCTGACAATTTCCAACATCCATTTCTGATTAAAAAAAAACACTCAATAAAGTTGGAACAGAAGTGAAATTTCTCAACATAATAAAGGGCATATATGAAAAATGAATCGCCAACATTATGCTCAATGGGGAAACACAGAAAACATTTCGCCTGAGAATGAACAGTAGACAAGGATGACCTCCTCACTACTCTTATTCAATATCGTGCTGGAAGTCTTAACCAGAACCATTGGACAACAGAAAGAAATCATGAGAATATAATTGGGCAAAGAGAAAGGAAACACAATCAGTAGTAGACAAGATAGATGACTAGGACTTATTAAAAATAAGACACCTATGTACATCAAAAGAGTAAAACGAAAGAAAAAAAGTAAAATGATTACCTACAGACTGGGGGAAAATCTTTTGTAATGACAAAACAAAAAAAGGGATTAATCAAAGGAATTCTGCAATACCTCAAATAGAACAAGGCTAATAATCCAATTATAAGGTGGGCAAAGAACATGAACAAAGAATTCACCAGAGAAGACACTCAAATGGCTAACAAATACATAAAGAATTACTCGTCACTGGCCATCCAGGTGATGCAAATCAAAACACCAATGAGCTTATACTAATAATGACAACCCATTAAAAAAAAAAACCAACATAAGAAATGCTGGAGAGGGTGTAAAGAGATTGGAATGCTCATACACTACTGGTGGGACTGTAAATATGTACAATCATTGTGGAGAGTGATTCAGTGCTTCCCAAAACAACTAGCAATAGAAATACCAAACAACCCAACAAAATTTCTGCTGGACATATACCCCAAAGAAGTATGAGATAGAATACAAACAGATATATGCTTGTTCATGTCCAATGTAGCACAGTTCAGAATTAGGAGAAGTTGGAAAACGCCCAAATTCCTACCAGTAGAAGAATGGATAAAGAAACTCTGGTACATACACAACGGAAGACTATGTATGCATCCCTAAAACACACAGAGATGAAGCCACACAACATCTCATGACATTGATGGAACCTGGACATCATTATGCTGAGTGAAGTTAATTGATCACAAAAAGTCAAATAGTGTTTAAGTCCACTACTATAAGGATAAAAACCGTGACAAAGGAAGTCTTCTGTTTCCAGCTCATGTAATCTTTTAATCTGGTACTCTAAGCAATGA